AAATATAAGTTGTGTAGTCCAGTGCCGACAAAACTTTTCCCCTTGTAATAACTATTATTTGTAAATCTGGCAACAACAATTTTTGAATTCGTCTGGAATAAAAGAATTCGTTTAAATTGCACCACTGGTTACAGAGACAATTGACCGTCCCGTTACTTTTCGTACACTCTGTATAGTATATGATAAGATGTGACAAAATTAGGGCGTAACACCGCAAAAAATTTCCGCCTGCGGCGAAACATTATTTTTGCCTCCCATTCACTACCTCCCGCTTTTCAATTTTGAAAATCTGGCAACCCTAGGGTAAGGTCAACATTGGAATATTGCTCTGTGGTGTGGTCACCATATTTTCAGATTCATATGGATTCTTTGGAGAGGGTGCAACGTGAATTTCTTAGAGTGTGCGCGTTTAAAAATGGCTTTGCTATGGCTGACCACGACTATAGAGCAATAGAACAACAATTGTCATTGAGTCCTCTGGGCCTTCGTAGAGATAGTTTTGGTGTAGCATTTATATACAAATTAGTACATGGGTTAATTGACTGTCCAAATCTCCTTTCTTCCGAACAACATACCTATGGTGAAAATAATCCTGTTGACAGATAAATGTCATTAATTAATAACTTAAATATTGATATATTTGATATGACCCTAGGTCAATTAAAAACGTAGGTACCTGAAGAATATGTGATATTTTTGTAGGTATAATAGGATCAATTCTAATTTGTGTATTATTTGTTGTACCTATTTCGATTTTATATGTTTCCATATTATGTTAACTACTCATTATCAAGATCAAGATATTTTTCATAATACCTACATACTTTTACTAATATCTACTTAGGTACTTAACCCTCGGGCAGGCGCGCTATTGGTCTTTTATACCGCCTTTTTACTAATTCAAGGATTTCGCAATTATTTTGGATTTTATCATATTGTCCGTCTAGGTATGCTCAAATGACTATATTAGCAAACCTACTACGCATAATTTACGACCTTAGCGCGCTTGTTCAGACGTCAGTGAGTTCTTGAACTTGCAGGTGTTGAGTTTTCGGCATTCCGTGCCGCCAGCGCGCCTGGTCATGTAAGTAAAATTAAAAGGGAATAATACAAATATTATGAATATTATTTTTGTGTTTTTGCGAAATTAGTATTAAGGATTTCATTTAGTTGCCTAGAATTACAATTTATCCAATTTTTTTACTGTATTTAAAGATAAATTTTGATATTTTGAATTATTTCGTACATTTTTCTACTGGCGGCAGGCAGTTCCGCAGCGCGCCTGCTAATGTGATTTTCAAATGCGCGCCCGCCCGAGGGTTAAAAGATGATTTTTGGCTGTACTTAATATGTTTTATATTATTGTGTAGTATTAATTTTTGTAGTTAAATAATATTTATTATTTATGTAGTTATATAGTTATAATATAGTACCTAACTTATGCTTTATTCTTTATATTTTTTCTTAAATTGTATTTTAACAGTTAGTGGGGTTTTCCCGTAAATAAATAAATAAATAAATATTCTCTGAATATCACACAGTTGGTTGTTTATTGCTGTGGTGGTAAAGAAATCCACTGAGAGCAGACCTTGCTCTTGGGGTGAATTTCCACAGTGTGCGGTTAAAGGACTATGCGCACGATTTCTGGAGAATTAGGAGACTGTGGACTCCCAGGATGAGTTTGATGACTTCCTGAGTTCTTTTTGATATCAGTCCTGTTGCACCGATTACAACTGGAATTATTGATGTCTTCATATATTCCATAGCCTTTAAGTTTCTATTTGTACTTAAATCTTTATATTCAAGATACTTTTCGGCTTCCTTTTTAGTTATGTTGTAGTTGGATGGAATAGCTACGTCAATCAGCAGGCATTGCTTGTGCTTCTTGTTTTTCAGGATGATATCCGGCTTGTTGGCCTGAGTTGCTCGATCGGTGTGCACCTGCACGTGTCAGATGATAGTGATTTCGGGGGTGTCTATCACTGGAGGTGGACTGTTTATACCATTTGTCGTCTACTGAAATCTTGTGGTATTTGCAAATATTCCAGTGCAGGTGAGCAGCAACCAGATTGTGGCGGTCGAGATACGCCTTTTTTGCCAGGATTTGGCAGCCAGAAACGATATGGTGGATGGTTTCTAGGTGTATCCGCCATAGTCTACAGACTGGGTCGTTACCAGATTTCAAGATCCTCGGCTTCGTATAATTGGTTGCTATTTGCTATGGCCTGTTCCTGGCAGGCAGTGATCAAGGCTCCGGTCTCTATCTTTAGATTTGCGTGCGTCAGCCATTTCCATGTTTGTCTTTCATCGATTCATTGATTTCATCGATTGATTGAGGAAAGCTATCGAATCTTTTGATCATAAACCAACGGTGTGGTTCCGATACGTAGATGATACTTTTGTGGTTTGAAATCATGGGGAAGAGAAGCTCGACCAGTTCCTAGGCCACCTGAACGCGCAATATCCTAGCATAGAATTTACCATGGACAAGGAGAAAAATCAAGAAATCGCCTTCTTAGATGTGCTGATAAAGGAATCTGGAGGAAAACTAAGCCACACACGGTGGGCGGTGTACCGAAAACTTACACACACAGACAGGCAGTGGCGGCTGGCCCTAAGGGGCCAAGGGGCCGTGGCACTGGCGTAAACTATGTCGGTCGTTTTAAAATAATTTTTTTTTTTAGTTCAATAGTTATTACAATCGTCAGATCAAATTACTTGCCATTTTATAATTTAATCCCGACGAAAAAATGCCTGTCGTTATTATTCTTAAATTTCCTAGACATTCAAGCGACTGACTTTTTTCACTGTCTCATTTGACTATCGATAGACAGTCAACGTTGATTCCAGGAATATCTTATTGGTTAGATTTTTTAGCGGCGTCTCTGGCGCCATAGGGCGGCATATTTCTTTGAAGCGCCTGTCGCAAAGAAATCAGTTTCGTCTGGAAAGACAGTGCAGTAGATATTTTTTATAAATTTGATTCCTATTTGATTTGTATGGTGCCTTATGTATTTTATATAAAACTGTGTTAATAAATTTCTCGTATTCCGCCCGTGCTTCATAAATAAAACTCCGAACGCCAAAGGAATTTTATTTTTTTCACTGTCTCATTTGACTATCCATAGACTATAAATGCATGGTAATGGCAAAATTTGTAATGGTATAAATGGTAAATGCTCACGTTTGAATTGAGAATACGTGACAAAATTACCCAAGGCGTGTTTTTTAACAACTTTTAGATCAAAATTTGAGTTAGTTTGGGTTAATTCAAAAAAATTCGCGCGCCTCCGGCATCCCCTCTAAGTGTGCACGGCCAACTTTTCCTCTCACCAGCCGCCACGGCAGACAGGTACCTGCATGCACTCTCAAACCACTATCCAAGGCAAAAACGTGGAATTATAACAACGTTAACAGAACGTGCTCGGAACCTGCGAGCCATAACATCTCGAGCAAGAACTGGATCACCCCAAGTCGGCCTTTCTATCAAAAGTATCAAATGGTTACAATGCATCTGAAATCGACAGGGCTATGCAACACATAACTGCCACACGATAAAACGTGGATGAACAACCAGTGGTGGCTAATGCAAATCTGCCTTTCATTTCTCGGATGACAGACAGGATAGGGAAACACAACATAAAAACAATCTTCAACTCAACAAGGAAAATAAAGCAATCTTTGAAACACGATGCTTTTTTGCCACGCCGTTCTTTCGCGCATGCTAACCGCCACATCCCAACCTGCCACGATAAACCGTGCGAAATAACGTGTGTGTATGCCGGCCTAATTAGATCAGCCAAGGATAAGGGGACCCACTGTCAAGCGCTGACTGGATTCTACCGTATACGACGCACATGTGGTGAGGTATGAACGAGCATAAAAGAAACTGCAGTGGAGAACTTAATCAAATCTGGAATCCAATCCTCAAAAACGCAAGAAAGATCCCACTGAGTACAGAGAAAGTTGAGATTAGCCACGTGCCGCGAAGCCCCGCCCCTCCCCCACCACAGCCACGCACACATAAATACAACTTAAGTTACACTTACAGTCAGGAACGCGTCAGTCTGCTACCAGAATCGGACATGGAAAAACCTCTGAAGATGCTAGCCACACGTGCTAGCGAAACGTCGGGAAGAAACTCTAACTTACGATTGCCATTAGGCCCGAATGAAAACATCTTATTAATAAACCTGAGCCGCGAAAGCCTCACAAACTGATATAATTAAAAGATTAAATGCCGTCACTTTGGATATTATTATGTCAGATATAGTTGGATGAGTTCCAGAGTTTGGAAAGGTTGGTGACCTGATTGCACCCTGGTGGATTTCCAGTTTCCACGCGTTTGAAAGACAACTAAGTATATCTAGCCCCGTGGAGTCAGTTAGCCTTGCCTACTTGAGATTGAAAAGATGAACAAAGGGTTCGTTCTCTTTCTGCAATGGCAATGGGTAGGGTGTAGTACTTTTTGGAGACTTTACGGACACATTTTTATCTAAAACGGGGATTGCTGGATTAGGGACATTTGTATGAAGAGAGAATTGACAATTTATGCACTAATTATAAAAATGGATTTAATGACAGAGGAAGAATGATCAAAGCATAGTTCATTCGAAGGTCTTTCGCAATTGCATTATTGGTCTTCATAGGCTGGAAGCAGGATGATTGTGCTGTGAGAGTGTTCTAGGGGGACTATAAGGTAAATTTTGTATAAATCTAGAAAAGAAGTGTGGAACAGGGCGACGAAGTGATACTTTAATGATCCCCAGAAGTCAGATATTTGGATAAGTTCTAATACATTGATACAGACTACAACTGAAGTCAAATACCTCCACTTTCCTTTTAGCATCGTCCGTTCTTGAAGAAAATCTCAACTGACGGATAATAATTATGAATATTGAAGAACACGAGAGCAACATCTGGATAAATTTCCAGTAAAAAGTCATTGGACCTCAAAAACCTATATATAAAATTATATGGTAAGTAGCTCAGGTACTTACCTTTTAAGTTCACTCTTCAAATCAGCAATAATCTGCAAATTATTCTTATTCTCCTCGGTGACGACGCTCAAAGTATCGGCCAAGACTTGATTACTACCGTGCATATCGTCCAATTGGTCGACTAATTGACCGGCGCATTTTTCAAACTGTTTGGATTGTTGTTGCATGTGAATTTTCAAATCCACTACCATCATTGGAAGATTCGGATCTTCTATGTTGATAGTGATGGTTTGCTTATCTAAATAGAGGCAAGATTTGTGTGTTGGACGATAGTAAATTATTTTTTACAGATGTCACAGAAAAACATATTAATAATTTACCTTTTTTAGTTATGCACTTTGAATTACACGCCATGCTGTCTCCAGTACCTATAACCGCAGAATGTGATAGTTCACTTATTATTTGTTCCGGAAATATAATTTTTATAAGATTTTCTTTGCCTTGAATTTCTTTAATGAAAGAATTTGAATTCAAACTGTCGCCCGATTCTGCAAAAAGAACAAGGTTTTTTTGAACAATTCTTCCCTTTTGCCTCCTTCAGTTTACCTTGACCTTGGAGTGGTTCTTTAACGTCAAAGTGATTAGTTTTATTTATTTTCAAAGTATAATTTTGAGTTTCTAATATTGTTGATTTTTTTTTGAATTCTTGATAATGCGACTGCTTTTCGCTTTGAGACGATTCTATTATTCTAAAATAAAAAATTGGTAAACATGATGGTTTTCCGAAACAACAATGGATAAATTTACCCACTGTGAATATGTTTATTATTTATAATATGGAAAGTTTTCCTCTTTGAAGGGCACTTTGATTAATTAGCGAAAACAGATAAGTGATAATTTTTTACGTAAACAGATCAAGTTTAGTAAAGCATAAGTTGATTATTGTTGTCTATAAGATATGAAATTATGTTTTATGATGTTAGACTTTCTACCGTAGCTTCATCCATAAAGAGATTCTATGGGCATATTCATTTCCTTGCTCATAGTTAGTCAAAATGGCAGATCAAAAGTTTGGTCTGTCGGCAATCCAAAAAGAAATACCGAGTACAAAAAAACATGAGAAATTCTTTTACCTTTCACTATCCCCAATTGCAGACAACTTCTGTTTAGCATCAAATGTGCATCTTTTGGATTTGGTTACCGTGACTTGTTCAAGCTAAAAATAATAATATATCTCTAAAAAACCCTATTCTTCAAACAATAATGTTACCTTTAAATTTATTTCTTTTAAGCTACAATTAGCTTGTAAAGCGTATGAATAATCTAGACGTAATCGTTCGAAATCATCGAACAGTCGTTTGTAATTAGTCTCGAAAGTGTATAATCGACTTTGTTGCGCGCTAAGTATATCATTTTTACATGAAACCATACCTTCTAGTTCTTCAATTTTTCTTGTGCGACCCAGGCAGGTTGAGCATTTTATATTTCTATCTGCAGCAAACTGAAAAACCAAACAATTATAGGAACGTTAAATGTTCACAAAAAGTACCTACAGTATCTTGTGAGCAGCTAGTCATATTCCCGTTTCTAAAAATCTATATGATTGACATACTTGCTCTGTTCATGATAATATTTGTAAAATTTTGATTTTTTAATGACCAAAAGTTAATGACGCTGTAAGTGTCAGGCGGAAGTGACGCTAAAATTTTTTTTTTGTGTCATAACTTTCTGCTACTGCTTTATCTAAGTACATATAGGGATTGAAATATTCCAAATATTATGGACCAACCAAAATTTAAACCTACAACCCAAGGACGATATTTACCAGGGCAAGTTGCTCCAAGCCTTATCAGGACCGATTTACTGCATTATAATAGGCATCTCAAAAATGTAATATTTGACAGTCACCTTCTTACCTTACTAATCATCATGATACCTAATTGTTTTTTTTTTTAGCTATACGAAGCGAAGCCTGTGGTAGACGCCAGTCCTCCTAAGTTCAATCCTTTCGGGAATAATGGACGTAAGCTCCATGAAGATGAATATAGATCTAGAGCTATTGCTTTGGAAAACGAAAATTTATTGAAAAGAATTCTTGAGATTAATCGATTAGGAGTAAGTATTGTAGACCCAAATCATCCCTTACAGATTTGTATATATTTTTCAAGCATATTCGGACCGTATTTTCGGTTTAAATTTGCATTCGTAGGTAATGAGAGAATCTTCTAAATTTGTTCTAAATGTACGCTTCATTGTGCCTTTTTTTTATTGAAATGTCAAGAGAAGTTGTCCTGTTGTTCTAAAAAATTTGCATTTCAACGACATTATCGGCAGTTTTTTAAATTTTCTTTCAATGCATTGAAGTTCATGTTTAACAATATAACAATTTGGATTTGGTTCCATTCCATCCAAGAGATATGTCACAACCGCTTGTTTTACAGGGGTGACATGGGGGTTGTAGCTTTAGGGGTTGATGGCTCAAGTAGTACAAAAAGTAGATTGATATTAGTAGATGGTAAATGGCGAGCGGTTTTATTGATGGTGTTTATTTCCTTGTGCAGCTACTAATAACATTGTGGAGGGGGAATATTCGACTATTCTAAATTCGAATTTTTTGTTAGTTAAAAAATTCGACTATTCGAATATTCGTTTATTCGAATTTTCAAATATTCAAATAGTCGAATATTCGACTAATCGAATAAATAATATTTGATTATTCGAATATTTGACTTATCGAATGTTCAACTATTCAACCAATAGTTAAAAAATAGACTTTCTGTTTATTACATTTACTATTTACGAAGAGCTTAAAACACATATACGCGTACAGGGTAGCCCACTTATTAAGAAACGTCAATTTCTCTTTCGAATATTCAAATATTAGAATATTTGAATATTTAAATATTCGACTATTCGAATATTCGACTATCCGAATAATCGAATAGTCAAATATTCGAATATTCGAACAGTCGAATATTCGAATTATTCAAATTATGCGACTATTCGAATAGAATATCAAACGACTATTCGAATACCTAAATTTTAAAAATTCCGAGCCCTACTTTCGACCTAATTACATGTCATCTTCAGGATCGGTTCTAAGAATAACGACTAATTGACGAGTAAGTCAACTAATAATTAACTCGTTTTTGTAACGATTTGTTTATTATCTTCTAATTATTCTTAAGACCGATCCTGAAGATAACCTGCATGTAATTACGTCGAAAGCGCTCGGTCGAATTTAATAAAAAAATTACATTACTACAAACCTGACTCATTGTTTATTAACTGTATTAAGGTTTACACAATTATACCTACTTTATTTTACTTAAATAATCAAAATCCAATTTTGCCACTACAAGTATAGTCCGTTGCATGGTTCTTGAGCCACGACTACTGAAAAGACAGAGGGAACAATGGGCTATTGCTGCGTTGTCATATCAATAATATTATTTATTTATTTATTTTTACTTATTATTTATTATTACATGAAAATGAAGGAAATTTTGTTGCAATTTTCATGTATTAATAAATATTATCGATATGACAACGCAGCAATAGCCCATTGTCCCCTCTGTCTATTCAGTAGCGGTAGCTCAAGAATCATGCAACTGACTATAATAAATAAAACTAATATTTTCCCAAAGTCTTACAGCCACCTCTAGGTTTGCCAATTCAATTTACTACACTTTTCAATCTTCAACATCCTACAAGTTTCTTCCTTTATTTTTCGGAACTTGAATTATTTTTCTCATATAAGGCCCTACTTCGATGCTCTCAACATCTTATAACCAAAATCATTTACTCTTATCTTCTACACAATACTACATGAATTCGATACATATTTTAAATAAAACTATCATTGCCTTTAATTATAAATTCTTAAAATCCCTGAAGTCATTTACTGACAAACTTATACAAAACTATTATTCATAATCATGAACCTAGTCAGATTAATTATCACAAACATTATTTTAATTAAATCCTTACAATAATTCTAATTGATTAAAATCTTTAATCAAAATTCAGCAATTTAGACATCCATCTTACTTCAAATCAAATATAAAACATTTTAATTAAAGCTTTCCACCACTTTAATGATTAAATTTTCCACTAAGGATCAAATACAGTGTAATTTTTATTTTTCAATTCTCAATTGCCTCTTCCGCTCATTGTAATCTGTTTAAATAGTATTCGATCCCACCATAAATAGCCTAAGGTTATCTCCGCAATGACCCTTACTTATCAAAGTAATGTTGCAAACATTTTTGTTTCCGTTTCCGCTACTCAAAAACGCCGACAGCGCGTGTACACAATTAAACAAGTTAGCCTTGTAATTAATGTCGTTTGGTGTTTAGATTAATGAGTTTACATAAAAAGTCAAGAAATCTGGTAGATCTTCCGGTAATTTAGTTCATTCGGACCGTTTCCGGTAAAGATAACTGATGACTATAGAAGGGGGTCCGGATAATAATTTTTAGATTAGATTTTGAACTTTATCGCTGGCTTATGCAGCGAAACAGATAACTGCGTTAATTATTATTTTAATTCAAACTTAGAGAATTCCAATTGAAACTATTGAGAGTATTTCATTTACTTTATTTCTTTCCAATTATAACTTTGATTATTGGGATTTCAATTTAAGATAAAGTTATTTGATTCAATTTAAATTTTTATTAAGGTAAATAATAATTGTCAAATCTATTTTTCTTAAATTCTCCTTTTTCACTTTTTAAATCCCTATAATTTATGGCCCTCTTTTGGGATCGTCACACAACAACAAAATAAGTACCTATAGTTGCGATAAAAAAAAAGTAGTACAAAAATTATTAACCCCAATTTGAGCTCCCGGGGTAACATATAAAATTTTGGTTCATTTTTGCTTTGACATGTTTATTTGGACATGAGACAAAAAGAGACAGAAAGCTACCAAACTTCCACCACCCAGTCAAACCGCGGTATAGCAGTATAGCATCTGACAAACCAAAGCGCCTACCAAAGTTACCGTGACAGCATCATTCTCCCATCCGAAATTGACCTTTTGTTTGGACGCCATATTGCGGTGCGCGAACATAGTTGCCAAAAGAAAAAAAAAATTACTAGCGGGCTGTCAACTTAAAAAAAAAAGTAACTACATGATTGATTGTCGCTATCCTTTTTGTTTGTTCACTTTCTCTCTCTGATTCTATTAGCCTATAGAAAACACGTGACTTTGACAAGCAAACAAATGGTTTGTGCAATGAAGGTTTGTGTGCCTCTTGGCGGACATTTCTTTGCGTTTACAAATTTTACCGATAGATTCACCATTCTATGTCGGTCATTGTCATTTTCCATTCACTAAACAAAGATAGCTAACTCATAAGTCACCTATTAGAATAAAAACGAGGGGAAAAATTTAAGTTTGACAGCACTTTGACTAGTCAGCCTATCCAAAACTGTCACAATGACAAACAAACAAGTTTGGATTAGATTTTCTCATTTATCATTTTAACTGCCACTTCCCAGTCTTGCCACTGGTGATATGTTCGAGGAGGAGGAGAGTGAGGAGACCCTTTTGCACAATAATACATCCAGGGCCTTTACTTCAAAGTATTTGAGGAGATACAGTGGTGGTCATACTTGTACAATATGCAAAAAATCATCAAAATCGAAGAACAATGTGATTACAAAATTGTTTTCTGTAAAAACATGCGAAGAAGGTTCTCTTCGAAAACAGTTTTTCTGTGAACAACACAAGCCAGAAAGTAAGTACTCATAGTCAGACTTTAGATGCTTTTGTAGGGAGAACCTACCTACCTGTTTAAATATCTTATAGTATTTCTGCAAAAGAATTGTGTAAACTTTAAAATTAGGTAGGTATGGTCTACCCTTGTCTTACCATGAACCCTATGTATACACATACCTACCTCATCTTTGATATGCACCAATTAAATTATACTAAGTTGATTTCATTTATGTTTGCAGCTCCATTTAGCATTGAAGATGCAATCATGAAGGAACACAGTTATGCCTATATTCCTGGAAAATATGATGCGGGGCGATTTAAGTTGAACCAAAAATACATTTGGAAATTAGAAAATCAAGTGTCAAGTTTAGAAAAACAAAGTTCATTGCAAAGTCAAGCAAATCAAATATTAGAAGACACGTGTTTTATAAGCAGTGGTTTTTACAATTTATGGATGTTATTTTGGAATTTAGTAAAAATGCACCAAAAAACCTAAAGTCTGAAAAATGTTTGGTACCTGAAAGAATTCAACTTCTATTAACAATAATTCGTTTGCGTCTTGGCTTAATGGTAACTGACTTAGCTTCCCGTTGGCATTTAGATGTTGGCATTATATCTGTGATTACCAGACAGTGGATATATGTTCTTAATGCATTTTTTCGGCAACTGCCTATTTGGCCTACTAGAGAAATTGTGCAAAAGTACATGCCTCAGTGTTTTAAGGCAAGATACCCAAGCACTAGAATCATTTTGGATGGCATGGAAATATTTATTGAAAAACCTTCTGATTATTTACTCCAAAGTTCGACATATTCAACCTATAAGGCTCACAACACTGCTCGAGGAATTATAGATACCTACCTTTATTATTATATTTTCATTATACCTAAATAAATAATAT